TTAGGGATTTGGGGGCTAGAAGCAATTTTTCCAAAAGTTTATACAAGATGTAAACTAAGTTAACCTCTCATAATTTGCCAAACATAAAAATAGTAGAAGGGTTTACAAATCCCTTCAGATTGGTTAAAATGAGTAACCTCCAAAATAAAGGGTTTACAAATCTACTTATTTAGAAGGATCAATAGATAACCGCTCTATTTATAAAGAAAATTATCATAATTCTTTTTATTTCCAATCATAAAATTAAAATAAACTAACATAACGAATGAAAAGTTTTAATCCTTCAGATAAACAAATAGACTAATTATATTAACTCTTCTCTTTAACCCCTCCTCCTTAACACTTTGCCAAGCTGGACCTAAAACATTAAGAAAGGGGTGACACTAGGGGCACACCCCCAACCACAACCTCAACCACACCCCCTCTCTCATTTGCTATAGTACATCGGGCCTCACATGAGATTTTAAAAATTTAAAATCCCATGTGAGACCCGGTGCACTGTAGCAAATGAGAGAAGGAGTGTGGTTAAGGTTGTGCCCCTATCATTTTCCTTAAGAAAGTGACCTCAAAAGTGTTGCAAACATCTAAAGTTTTCCACGCAATTTGAGTAACGGCCCACGACAACATAAACAGCAAAGTTGTTGGAAGAGTCAATTCTCTCAACGTTCCCAATTTATTAACAGGGCATTAGAGTTAGCTAAGAATTTATGAGGATAGTGAGAAAATGGGGCCAGATTTTTGTTGCTTTAACTGCAACAGCTTGGTCAGAGTTGCAAATAAGCAGAATCTACTCTCTTTTGTTTTTGGTCTTTCCTCTTTGAGAGGCGTGCACTGTGCAGAGCAGGCGTAAACACTTCACAGGTGATGAAAGGGTAAATAATATTATCAAAAGTCAATCCGAACATGAAAAAGAAAATCCTATGCGGTCATCATCAAACTGTAGTATTTTATAGGTTGTATTTTAGCCCCTGCACTCAAGTATGCGCTGATATATATCTTGGTATTAATGGTATTTTCAAATTAGTGCACAACAAAGAGATATGGGTATCGAGCATCATCCAAATATTATTTTTTTTCCACTTGGTGCATCATAAATGTAGTGTTTTAAAAAAAAATGGATCATGCATAATTTGAATCACTTGTTGCTATCTTATCAATTTCTTTTCAATGGTTTCTTCTAGTAGATTAGAGTTAAACCAAACTGACAAGCCCAGAATATTAACATAAGGGGTGTTTGTTTCAAATCCTATAATTTTAGGATATGAATTTCACCATGGGATTTAAAATCCATAGGTAATTTGTTATGGGTTGGGATTCCTAAAACTTTGTTTGTTTCAACAATATTTTGGGATTTGGAATACTCTAATTTGTAATATTTTTGTTTGTTTCAATCTTTTTAAAATTTAAAATCCTTAATTTGTCTAACACTTTGAAATCCACCCCACATCCCACACAAAAAAGAGGATTTCACAAATCCTTAAATATATTTTTATTATTTAAGGATTTGATATTCTAAAATTTGTTTTGAAACAAATAAGTTTTATGGAGTTCTAAAACCCAAAAAAACCCACTTTTTGATCCTAAAATTTGAAATCCCACCCAAATGCCAAATTTTTTTTTGAAACAAACACCCCCATAATCTTTTTACATGTTTCTGGTAAAAAAAACTGATTTATGATAAAAGCTATCATGAACTATATAGTTTTCATAGACTGTCAATGTTCAGGAAAACTGAATTATCGTGGCAGTTCATTAAAAAGAAAGCATAAAGAACTATCTTCCGTGGTGATAGAAGTAATAAATAAGTACTATCTTCTTATTTTTTTATCTACTCAGTTGTCTATGCAAAAGATGAAGAACAACAGTGGACCCCACTGTAGCTGCAAGAGATCATTAATGAAAATTAAAAATATGGAAAAAATAGGACGAAAATTTTAGCTCGACGCATTTCTTCAAATTACAATCTAGGCATCATAAAAACACACACAAAATCATTCTAACAAGAGGTAAAGAGTGAATGAATGATACTACACTACCACCAAAATGACTTGCTCTTGGGGGGGGTTAAGGTACAACCTCTAGAGGCTTCATCTGTATTACCACTAAAAAGAAAAATACAGTAACAGGATCAAGAATTGAACTACAACTAATATACACCGGCCAGAACACTGAAGTTCTTTTACATTAAAAAAAAGAAAAATCATTGTCTCATGCAGATAAATACTACAAGCATCGCCTTTGACTAACAATTTAATCTGATAAACAGATCTTATGTTGCAAATGGCATTCTCTCTCAAGGTGGAAGCAGCACTTTAGATTGCCAAGAAAGAACACGAGAATGCTGAGGCGCCTCTCTTAATCTTCTCCTGTAATGCTCCAAAGTTTGCGTGTTTTCGTCCATGGTATCGCTAGATATTGTATCTTCTGTCAATTTCACGGCCGCCTCTTGTGACAATTGAAATGCATCCGCTACATTTTGTAACTGTTGAGCGATTTCCTCCTTTCCGAGCATTAGAAGAACTAAGATTAGCGATTTAAGTTCTCGCAGAGCACTGGCCGTTAGAGACATGCCCTTCAGATGATCCACCAGTGCCATCTCCTCCCCAGGGCTGTCAATATTCAGATATATTTTCTTTATTCCAAGAAAAAGAGTTTGAGAACCAAAAACAATAATTGCATATACAGCTCATATATGAGACGGGGTTATTCATTTATTACCCCTAATCTTTTCTATTAGAATTGACACCCCCTGATGGCTAGCCATAGTTAGCCCTCTGTTGTTTGTATATGACAGTGTGTTGCAAAGACAACCTATTCTCTCATAGGTGTCAAATATACATCAATAAAATGCAGATCTAGATAACAAAGAGATAACTTCATCGACAAATCAGGGTAAGGGCTAATAAAAAAAGTTTAGGGTAACAAGTGGTTGCATCTCCAATAGGGGTGGCAATTTATGACCCGACCCATCAACCCGACCCGACCCGACCCGTTTATTATAGGTATGGGTCAAGTTATATGGGTCGGGTCATAAACGGGTCAACCCGAACTGACCCATTTATTAGATGGGTAAGTTAGGGTTGACCCGCCTGACCCGTATAACCCAAAGAAGCTGACCCGAATAACAAAGAGCAAGACTTTCCCTTTCTCTACAATGCACGTTTTGGGTTAGGGTTTTGATTCTCGATAGATTTCGGAAATGGGGAGCGTGACGTTGGAGGACGCCTCCGATCGGTGCGGGAGCTATAGCCCTAGTGCTGATGTTAGTGAGTCGGAGACCTCGTCTGAGTTCTCAGTGCGGAGGTTCTCCGGCGGGGGAAGAGGCAGAGGCTGCGGTGGGGCGTCGAGCTCGATGGCCTCGTCGCCGATGAAGACGGCGAGGGCCGCGATGGCGATGATGGCAGACGCTGATGTTGTTTTCTGGGAGGGGAAGATCGAGAAGAGGGAGACGGAGTTTAACGGTTTGCTCTTTATTCGTTTACCTATGTTTTGGATCTGATATTTTTGCTCTTTTGTTCAATCAATCCGTACATTTGATTCTGGTTTTTTTTATTTTTTTTATTTTTGTGTATGTTAGTGATGTGGGGATTATGGAAGAATTGAAGAAAATGTAGATGGAATTAAAGAAAATTTCATGATTCTGAAGGAATTTGGTGGATTTTAAAACTTTCTTAAACTTCTAATAATCACTAAAATGTATAAATTGGAAAATGTAGTTTTAAAAGTTCATTTCTTCAGATTGTATATAATGAAAATGCTGTGCTTTCTTCAATTTTTGGATTGGAATTTCCCCAGATAGTTGATGCGTATGTATGTAGAATGACATTGTAGCCATTCAATATTTTGTTTATCTCCAAATGTGGAAATTTGCAGTGAACCTTTATAAATATATCAGAAATAGTAACCTGGTTTTTGTGTGCATAAGTCACTTAAAAGAGTACAATAGAATATGCAGGTTTCTACTACAACCACACTAAATGTTTAGTATTGTCTACCATTTGGGTTATATATGGGTCGGGTCGGGTAACCCGTTTAATAAACGGGTCGGATCGCATTGACCCATTTATTAAATGGGTCGGGTCGGGTCACACTTATACGGGTCGGGTCAAATTTTATATGGGTCGGATCGGGTCGGGTCGACCCGTTTGCCACCCCTAATCTCCAATTAGCCAAATAAAATAAAGATGATAATAAGCATAAAGTTTGTGAAGCTAACCTTCCAGCACGAATTTTTCCTCCCTTCTTCCTCTGCTGTCTCACGTAACGTGCCTTACTAGCTGTTGTAGAGCTGATCGAAGCACCTGATTCTTTAGTTGTCCTGTCAAGAAAGAAGCAACATGTAAGGCTTGAAGTCTTCAGTGATGAACGCAAATGCATGCAAGATTTAAGAGCAACAATATGTGCTTCATATTTTCCCCTTATAAATTTAAGAAATAACAATCACATATTTAAAAACCCCTATCCCCTGTCACTTGCCGAAACCATTAAACAGTTTAGCAGATCAGCTTTGATATAGTCACTTAAATTGCCAAGCATTGATCATATAACCACCCACAATGCATTTCTTCTCTAACAGTTGCTCTATTATACTAGATATATTTCCATCTGCTCCATCCATGCAGGTGAGCAATAGTGATTATACTCTAACATAAACCGCCATGATTTGATCATGTGACCACCCACAATGCATATAATTAAAGATATATTCCCATCTACTCCATCCATACATGCGAGCATAATGATTATGCTTGTTGACATTAGGATTAAGAGCAACGAGTAAGTCAGACGTAAATTCCACCAAGACTAACATGAGGCTCTTCATTATTCACATAACTCAACTCCCATCTCCCTCCTAAATGCCTTTGCGATTTGGAAAGTAACACAACACACCATTAGACATGAGTAACTTAGACAAGAAGTCAGCAGTATATTGGTCACAAACTCCATCAACTTTCCCAGGACATCAAAACTTCCCACACAATTGCTATCTTTTCGGCTATCAAATATTGCATTAAGGAATACCTAAATGACTGCTAGACATCACCATAAGAAACTATACTACTAGACATCACCATTACAAGCCAGACTAGTAGAGACATCCATGTATATGCTCAGTCATAGGATACAACTCTTCTGCCACATGAAGCAGCCTTTGGTCAATTTGACAGGGTGAGTAGTATAACCAATAAATAACGTTAGTTCTTATAAAGTTACAAAATCTTCATTAACATGAGCTTTTTTAAATCATCCTGCATCTCTAATACAAAACTTCCTCAACCTATTAACAATCTCGAATGTTTCAATGCCAAGCACAACTCTCTTCTTAGCTATCTCTCTTGATTAACACATGTGAGTCTTACATTACAATATTCAATGAAATTCTAGAGTCAATCACAAGACTGTGTCAAACTCCTGGGGGATATGGTTACATATCCTTTATTTTAACTTTCAGATGACCATTGTTTGACCCAAAGTACCTTCCAAATTCTTATACAGATGAAACAGAATCACACCTAACAAGTTAAAATTTCTCGCATCACTTAAAAGTTATTTTTACAAAATGATTTACAAGCAGGTGACTTTGAGGCTTTATTGATAAGTTAATCCATGTACTCACTATTTAAATAAGAGAAAGCGAAAAGCATCACAGTAGATTTGCATTCAGTAGAAACATCAATTTGGAAATCCAATCATTGACCCCAATTTAGGTTTTTTTTGTTGGGGGGGGGGGGGGGGGAACACAACACACCATTAGACATGAGTAACTTAGACAAGAAGTCAGCAGTATATTGGTCACAAACTCCATCAACTTTCCCAGGACATCAAAACTTCCCACACAATTGCTATCTTTTCGGCTATCAAATATTGCATTAAGGAATACCTAAATGACTGCTAGACATCACCATAAGAAACTATACTACTAGACATCACCATTACAAGCCAGACTAGTAGAGACATCCATGTATATGCTCAGTCATAGGATACAACTCTTCTGCCACATGAAGCAGCCTTTGGTCAATTTGACAGGGTGAGTAGTATAACCAATAAATAACGTTAGTTCTTATAAAGTTACAAAATCTTCATTAACATGAGCTTTTTTAAATCATCCTGCATCTCTAATACAAAACTTCCTCAACCTATTAACAATCTCGAATGTTTCAATGCCAAGCACAACTCTCTTCTTAGCTATCTCTCTTGATTAACACATGTGAGTCTTACATTACAATATTCAATGAAATTCTAGAGTCAATCACAAGACTGTGTCAAACTCCTGGGGGATATGGTTACATATCCTTTATTTTAACTTTCAGATGACCATTGTTTGACCCAAAGTACCTTCCAAATTCTTATACAGATGAAACAGAATCACACCTAACAAGTTAAAATTTCTCGCATCACTTAAAAGTTATTTTTACAAAATGATTTACAAGCAGGTGACTTTGAGGCTTTATTGATAAGTTAATCCATGTACTCACTATTTAAATAAGAGAAAGCGAAAAGCACACAGTAGATTTTGCATTCAGTAGAAACATCAATTTGGAAATCCAATCATTGACCCCAATTTAGGTTTTTTGTTTGGGGGGGGGGGGGGGCAAGTTGAGGCAGTGAGATAACCTGTTAAGCAGAGTTGACGTTGGTGATAGCCATCCATAATTTGACTACTATTATTTTATAAGCACTTTCCTCACTGATAAGCTCATGCAACTGTGAAAAATGTGCAGTGAAAAATTCAGGGGGGAAAAAATGCAAATAACATCATGGAGTATATCCAAGACACACTAAACACGATTGGAACAAAATCAACGACACAGGCAAAGATGTGCAATATGAATGAAGAGCATACCTCGTGGTGTATGCGCTCATACCACTAAAGTTACTACTGGTTTCTGAAACTGTATCATAATCAGCATCATTAACCAAATTGTCTTCAGCCTGAAGTTTAGCAGCAAGAACTAATCTTCTCTGACGAACAGCTAGATAGCGAGCCAAATATTTCGCTACTTTTTCTGATCCCTCCTTATATTCAGATATCATTGTGCTGGCACATTCCAGAGCTGCATCTTTAACATCAGAGACTAGATCCTCCCTTTCATGCAAATAGCCAACCCTGAGAGCTTCATCCCATTCTCGTGCGAGTATATAATACCCAACACCCCTGGAAACATCTGCACAATATTCCAGCGCAATTTTAGCAGCCTCAGCTGGCTTTCCAAGCGCCTGAAATTCTTCGCAGAGCTCATTCGCTAGTTGAAGAACTTCTTCTTTTCCTCGTTTCAGGAGACCAGCTACAGTAAGCACGCCTTTCCAATCACCACAATCACGATATGCCTTCAAAGCTTTCTGGAATGAGGAACAACACAGATAAGTTGAAGCAGCATCTTCATAATGTTTTTCAGCTTGAAGATAATCTCCCCATGCTTCCATGACCTGAAACCTCTTGACATTGTTGGTGACTAAATGAAGAGCAAGTGGGAAAAGTTCAGGGTTAGTCTTCATAAGGTTCATGCAATCTTCGTGATAGTCATCACCCGCTGCCACGATATGTCTTAGTGCCTTCTGATATCTATGCAATTTTACATCAATAGTGTACTTCATGACAACAGGTTGCAATTTTTCCAATCCTCTCAGATAAGGAAGAAATTCCTTTGGATCCTTCTGAGAATTCAATGCTACAATGGCAGCAAGGTTCAGATCGTACAAGCCTAAAGCTGCTTCATAAACAGCTTCTGAATCAGTCAACCATAAGAGATGTCTCAGAGATTCTTCAGAGGATGGGTATAACTTTCTCCGACTATCATCAGCCCCTGACAATTCCATTTCACGAATCACTTTTATTCTGTCCAGTGCTTCCTCTAAAGCAGGAGGTTCACTCCGAGCTAACGTGGTCAATATACAGAGCTCTCTTGCGGGACATTCTGGTACATGTTCCACAAGGGCCTTACGAACTGCCAGCAGCACCGAAGAAACCTTGCTCTGTCCACCAATATTCTGGGGATTTTCTCTAGGTCTAGGCAAGGTTCCGATAGAAATATAATTCTTGTACAAAGTATCCATAATATCATCATTCTTAAACGAGCAAACAAATTCAGTAATATGACTAAGGTTATTTACTTGACTCACAAAGTCAGTAGATGATTCAATAAATGCTTGCAGACCACAACAGTCAACAATTACATTAAAATCTATTCTATGTCGCCTTACCATGAGCAATGCATCTTTGAAACGCCGCTGGAGCAGAGCATTAATTATGGAAACAAGGACCAGCTTTCTAGGATATATACATTCCAAGTTACCACGAGTTGTTTGCAAAATGACTGCTGCTTCATCTCCATGAACAACACCAACTATCTTTGCCCCTCTTTCCCATACATTCAAATAGTCTTTACTTTCTTCTCCCCGTTTCTGGTTGATATTGTACCGTTCAAAATTTTCTTCTAGGCTCCCATGCAAAATATCCTCTATACTGACAATAAACAGTAAATCCTGTTTGGTGGTGAGAAGCAAGTGTGTAACTACTTCCTCTGCAACAACCCCAGCTTTAGAGTAAAATGAGAAACTGCTACAATTGTTGCATATTATTCTACTCCCAGCATGCAGCCTGCCATTGTCATCAAGGCCAAAGATTAAGGGTTTCACGATGCTATTATCGCGAACAGAAACTGCTTTCATCCATGGACATGACAATGAAAACCCACTTCCAGAATCAAGCTCATGGAGTTGTGACCTTGCAGATCCCTCTGAAAAACCTGAATTTGAAGAATACTCAAGAATAGATCCTCCGTCCATTTGAACAAAAGCTGAGGATCTTTTGGCAGGATTCCGGACAATACTAATGACAGTCCCCTCTAAAGGCAATGCCTTAGAAACCTTTGCTTGCCAACCAGAAAAACTCACTGAATCAGGCACAGAATCCTCAGAACATACAAGTTTGATCTCTACCAAAGAATAACCATGTGAACAGTTTGACTGTTGATAAGCGAGCTCGTGACCTCTCAATACTGTTGTCATATGGCTCTCATCCAAGTAGCATGCAACACCAAGCAAAACATGCGTATCTAACCAAGTCAGATGCATAAAAGATCCGGTTGTCAAATCAGAGGATGAGGTTTCAACAGTAAACTCTTGGCCTTCAAATTGCTCCCATATATCCATCCCAGGAAGCTCAACAATGCATAAATTACCATCAGAGAGACATGCAGCAAACTGATTCTTTGAGTTTTTACAAAGGAAAGCAATGTCCTGAACAGGACTACAAAATTTCAGCCTGAACAAAGACATGGGCGGTGGCATGAGGAACAGGGAAAAGGGAGTAACTAGTACATTGGAGTTATCAACAACCAAAGCAGTGGACGTGTCCGTGACAGCAGTCATCCAAACAAAGTTGTAAGATGTCACCTTGCCACCACGAGCCCAGCACATTAAATGCAACGGCTTTGTTGGATCCCAGCTGAACTCTACTCCATCTAGCTTTGAATATCTTATTTCTTGTTTTAAGTACCAATGATAGTTGCTGAAGGACCAGATTTTAATAGCATCATATACATCACAAGTAACAGAAGCTGCAAGAAGGTCCGAGTTACAGTTCCATTTTATCATTTTCACTATACTTCCCATTGGCTCATCAATGCCAAAAGAGTTCCTTTCCAATCCATTCTTTTCAAAGAAAACTACAAGGGGAGGCTTATTTTCATGTTTCCTATCACAGGCTGCCACCAACTTGGCTCCACTGGGCATCCAATCTAAGGATGTTCCCATAAATTTTTTAGATTCAGAAGAAGAATGCAAGACACCCGATTCACGCTCCCAGATCCTGATCTTTTGCAAAGAAGAAGACTCGTGAGGTCCTCCTAGAGTAGCAAGATATTTTCCATCACCTCTCCAGCAAATGGGTGCTTGAAATTGAGTGTAGGAAGATTCATCCATGCCATCTGTGATGCCATTCTGGTAGTGAAACTTAGTCAGATTGATGAAACGCCCACTTTGTGACTTATGCATATATGACACCTGACTAGAAATTCTACATAAAAGAATTCTTCAACTAGAAACCAAGAGGATAAATACAAATATGTTTTGGAACCATACTGGAGAGAACTAGATAACTGCAGGAGATGATTAGAACATATGTTAATTTAAAGATGAAGGGAAGGAAGAGACGCTTCCCTAACAGTCCCACATCCAGAATAGGCACAGGCACGCCTCCTAACGGAAAAGATGCAAGTGTTTGATGCGTAAGCAAAGGTTCAAGGGAGGTATCAACATGCACAGAAATATGAATTTATCACTTCAATTGCACGAATTTTTAGCCGTCATTACGTTCAAAGGAGGTACCAACATACACAAGAATTCAAATGCTATAACTTTAACTGCACATACCAACATGCACATAAATGCAAATGCTACGACTTGAACTAAGCCAATACTTTGCATCTCTATAATACTAAATGATCAAGAAATGATAAAGCAATAACATACCTCAGATAGTTGTGGGTTGAGTTCAGTTTCATACAGTACTTCCCAATCATGAGTCATGACTAGCAACTGCCCTAGACCAGCAGTCACAGCAAGAAGAGCTCCATCCGGGCTCGCTGAGATGCTCTTCACACCACCCTCCACCCTGCCAACAACTTCAGTTGTTTTTAGTTCTATGATGTGCAGTAAGAGGCACCCACTTGATGTCCCAATTACTAAGGCTTCTTTCTCCATCAAATAGTCCATAGCTACTATGCAATCGTCAGGCTCCAGAAATATTTGCTCAGAGTATGTAGATAAAATAGCTTTGCTCGCTGACCTTCCTTTCTGCAAAACACGATATCATAACAAAGCTTTGTTTGTGATATGGATTAAATTTGGAAAAAAAACTTGCACTTTTTGGTTCCTAACTCTACAAGCAAGATAAATTCCTCAAAAAATTCCTCTTTTTGATGCTGAACCAGACTTCCGAGTTGTAATTATCGACAGTAATGGTATCGGCATAAACTACAAACTAAACCTCCATAAAATCACGAAAATTGTTTTTTATAAATATAATAACATTGTTAAGCAGCTCCTAACAAATGCAATATTTCTTAATCTAATATTCTCCTATTATAGCTTTAAAAGATGTGTTGTCAACCAAAAAAAATCACAGAAGCTATTATTCGTCAATTCAATGCGAATAGAGCCGAAAGAAGCAAGATTTGGATAATTGACCATTATTTCTCCAATATATAATTCAAGCGACAATCCATAAGAATACAAATTCTGTAAAGCTTTGATTTCCTCACTTGAGACGAAGAGAGCTGAAGTCCATAAACGACGTTGGCTGAAGAGGCGAAGAACACGCGATCACGCTCGACGTCGAAAGCGGAGCACAGAAGGTACTCGTCCTCCGATTGCAGATCGATGCCGACCGATACAGAGGTAGAAAGCTTCATATTCTTCATTGTTTGCTCATGAATCGATGAAGAATTTGAACTGAGAAGATAGAGGAGAAGAAACCCTAGATTTTGAAGTGAAGAATTTGAGAGGAGAACAGAGGGGTGGAGGGTTTTGGTTCGTGCCCGCGCGGAGGAGAGTAGGGTTTTTGGTGGGTTTGAAATTGGGCTTAGGTCGGCCCCAAGGCTTTGTGGGCCTTTTAAATAATACGAAGCCCAGCAATTCAAATGGACTATGTTTTCGGGAGCCCCCGAAAATAAAAGTCTAATGGCAATGCCAGGTGGAATTTAATAGATGACATGTGACAGATCGGATCTAGAGAATTTTCTCAATTTCATTTATGTTTGGATAGGTTTTTTTAGGTGGTAAAAGAGGAGAAAGCTGCCAAAAATATCAGCTTTTTGGCAGTGTTCCCCCAAAATCACCTTTATAAGGGGTGATTTGGGGGGAAAGCTACCAAAAAGCTGACATTTTTGGCAGTTTTCCTCACTTTTACCACCCAAAAAAAAAAACCAAACAGCCCTTATATCCATTCTGCACACAGTAATTTTCCATCAAAAGCCCTCAACTATATAATTTTAACAGTGCAGTCAGATTTCTTGGTTTATTGAATATAAGATAAGACAACATTGCGCTATTTAATTCAAAATATGCAGTATTTTTTCAACCCCCTGTTTATCGAAATAAAACTCAAAAGCGAATATCAAGTATTCGTGGGGTATTCGCGTGTCGAAATGATTCGCGGGTTGAAAAGATCAAGGCGGATGAGGAAGAAACAGGAGAAGGTGAAGAGGCTTTTTAAGAAAATCAATATAATATCATAAATGAATTTTCATTTTTTAGCGTTCTTAATTTTTCAAAAAATAAAAGACAACTAACAATGTACAGCTAGCATTACTACATCTACCAACCTATAAGGGGTTGTTTGGTTGTTATTGGTAAAGTTGTGTATTTATGACACAACTTGGAAAGTTGTTGTCCACCTCATCAATTTCACTATTATATTTTTCTTTGATTGTTTTTTATTCCACTGGAATCATAAATTGTTTGTTTGCTTTGCAAATATAACTTTAAATTGTTTGTTTGAAAAGTGTAAAAAGTGGTCCTTACTCAAATGATTATATTGGTTGGAAATATTTTTTAGGAAAAAATGCTTCCAGCCCCCAAAACACAACAAAACGTGCTCCCCCCCCCCCCCCCCCCCCCGACTTTTTTAACGGGTGCTTTGCCCCCAAAACCGCCCGCGATTTCCTTCCAGCCCCCAAAACGAATCCCCATGCGTAACTCCGTTTAAACCCCGCTCGAAATGCCCAAAATACCCTTACGTTTAAAATGCCCCGTTATGAGTTACCTCCTCGTCCGTACCCTGTCATCTCTCTCTTCTGCAAGCAAACCGAATCCAGAAACCCAATTCAAAACCCTAGCCCTAAATCAACCGACTCTAACGCAAACCGAATCAAAACAAAGGGATCAAAATGGTCGGCGATTCAACCCCCAAAGCCAACCTCAATGCCGACCACAGTGAAAGCGATGACGCCCAGTGGTTCAAAATCTCAGAAAGAGCCCATACAACTGCAGTGCGGACTGAATCTGAAGCTGGAGCTGCGATTGCTGATGTTCTAGCGGACATCGCATCCAGACATTCTCAACCCAGAAGCCCACCTCAAAATTTAAGTGTAGGCCCCCGCGAAGGTCTAGAGGGCACCACCGGCACCACCGGCGCGTCCAACGATGCCACTAGAGCGCTCCTTGGTCTACAGAGAGGAGAAAAAAGAAGCACGTTGCAGCACCCAAAAGGTAATTTTTACCGCAAGTTTTATGTTGTTAAGGTTATGGTTTGATTGATAATGCTCCTAGTCTGGTGGGAAGGTCCAACATTACGGGTGTCTGTTAGCTGTTGAGGTTATTGTTAACATGCAAGGTTCATGCTTTTTATTGTTGAGGTTGTTATTTGGTTGTTAATGTTAGGTTTTTGTTGTTAAGGTTATGGGGTTGTTGTTAAGGTTGTTGGTTTATCCGCAAAGTTTACAGCATAGTTGTTATGTTTACTGATTATACTCAAAAATACTCTTGTCTTGTGTTTTTGTTTTGTAGAAAAAGAGCAAAGCCAACTATTACGTTACGGCCCACCGCCAGCTTCAGTGCCTATCACGACTTCATGCGGAATTTGGTGATGCGTATGGGGCCAAGGCATTTTACGGTCTATGAAGATAGTGTATTCAGACACTACGTCCAATTTGGCCCACCTGGTGTCGATCTTCCCACCTTTGAGCACATTTTGAGTCAATGGGATAAGAAAAGCAAAAAATTCGTCTTCACCGATAGGAATGATGGAGAAGAGATCGCATGCTCATTCAACCTTGAGTAGGTAATGGAGCATACATGGTTCTCCAATGAGGGGTTTCATGTTGACCACAATCAGGATAGGAAAAATAGAATTTGGTCCAGGTTTTTTGACAAATCCGAGGCCGGGGATTCCAGCAGTATAGCTCCCCCCAAAGGAGGCCCCACCAGACGCAATGTGGAGGATCTGCTCTTGAAGCTGGTACTATCTTCTGATCGGCGAGATGTGGAGGACTTTGTCCTGCTACAGATCCTCTATCAGTTGAGCATGATTTGGTGTCCAAGTAGTGTTTCCGGCGTTCCGAGGCATTTATTCAAGTACGTCGACAGCATCAAACAGGTCAATAACACTGCTTGGGGGACCTATATATTCAGTGAGACATCTGACGCGATAGAGAGGGCACTGAAGGGTCCTGAGCCAGGGAAGACGACTTTATATCTGCAAGGGTGTACCCCTCTAGCTTGTGTAAGTAATCATGTTTTTTATTACTGATTGTGAATGTTAGGGTTTAGTTGTTAATGTTACAGTTTGGTTGTCAATGTTACGGTTTGGTTGTTAATATTATGGTTTGGTTGTTAAGGTTACATTTTTATTGTTAGGGTTACTTATTAATTGTTACGGATAAAGGTGTTTGTAAGTTTTTATTTCTCTAATGTACAATTGTGGTATTATGAACTCACCGGCATCAAGAAGCCAGCAGTTTGGATGTACGGTGAGGCCTCCCCTCACAAATTGGGTGAGACTTGGAGAGGTTGCTGGTTCTTTGAGATTGGTCACTGTTGTAGCTAAAGCAAGCAAAGCTACGATAAAGCTTCCACAGCAACATGGCCAATTTCAAAGAATCGAGGGAGGTTTGTGGGGGAAGGAGCAGGGGATCGAGAAAGAGAAGATGAGAGAGAGAGAGAGAGAGAGAGAGAGAGAGAGAGAGAGAGAGAGAGAGAAGAGCAGGATTAAGGGACCAGCTGCAGTAGACGCCAGCAGGGCTCGTGGCCCAAGAGACATTCTTCACAAGAAGAAGAGGCGAGCAGAAGATGACGACATCCCAATTGATACAGTTGTAAGAATTTAGCAATCGTGGATTTTATTTGTTTTTTAATTAATTAGTTGTTTTAATAATACTCTATATGTCCATTGCATATGTGATGCCACGAGATATTGATGAAGACGTCGAGCAGCCAAATGAGGCAGTTGAGTAAATGGAATGACCTCAGCAAGTTATCTACTGGAAGAGCATCGCGGTAATGAACCAAGCATTACGTCACGAGAACGAAAATAAATTCAAGGATATGATTGCTGCTGACTGTGTAAAGATAAGTGCTCTTTCTGTGAAGGTGGCTAAGCTGTCTGCTCAAAATAGATGACTGAGAGAGGAACTAAGCGAAGCACGATCCAGAACCCTCTCTGTATATAAGGATAAGAGCCCTACAGGATTGGTGTTCGACTCATTGATGGAGCCATAAACTTGTACATGTTAGATGTGGCTTGTAATTACGTTTGCGTGCTATGTTTAAAGATTGATTGATAAGTATATGGATTTTTTGTTAAGGTTAAGAATTTATTGTTAACTTTACGGATCTAATGTTAAGGTTAGGGATTTATTGCCAAGGTTAGAGATTGATTGTTAAGTATCTGGTTAGTTGTTAGGGTTATGTAACTGATACTATGTTTTTTTTTATAATGAAGTACCTAAGCTCATTTGTTCATTTTTTAAATCAGACACTCCAGGCACCGTGGGTGGCATTGATATTCAGTACGAGGGGGATGTTAATCAATCATTATTTGATAAAGCTAATAAGGAAAGCGAAGATCCTCCAACAGGGAGGGCCTCTTCACAACCATTTTTCTTTTTGATATCCACAAGGAGAGTGAAGATGCTCCGCCAGGAGAAGTACCTCCACCAGAGGCCCATCGCATTGACAAGGCTCTTAAGGCAGAAATAAACGAGGGAGAGAAGGTGTCCCCGCCAGCGAAGGAGCTGCTAACTTGTACAGGTCAGCTTACTTGTGCACTATACGTTAGAGATTGGTTATGTCTACGTATTGGTTGTTAAGTTTTTGATTGTTTATACTCTGAATATTATCAGAAACAGGCACTCAACGCGAGGGCACTGGAAGGGAAATAACGCCGGCGGTTGATGTCCCTTCTGTAGGACATGATACAGAGACGCAAACTTGTATAGGTTAGCAACTTTTTCACCATGTGTTTAGGCATCAGTTGTTAGGGTTACTATAAAATTATTAAGTTTAGATAGAAGGAGCTAAGTTTTCTCAATATTTATACTTCGAATGGATTGTTTGGAATCAGACACTCTGTGGGAGGACACTGGGATGGAAATAAATCAATCAGAGAATGTCCCTCCACCAGCAATAGAGACATCAACTGATGACGAAGATGCTCCTATTGTGTTTTCAAGGGCTTTGAATAAGAGAAAGAGGGGTGTAAGGGGGGCACGCGAGAAGGTGGCCACTGCTGCACCCCTTAAACGGAAGAGATGTAAAAGAGCGGTGAAGCCTTCCAAGTGGGTAGTCACCCCTTACACTGAAGGAAAGAAGAAGAAAGAAAAAGACAACATAGGGGACAAGGCTATAATAGAAGTGGCTGGGGAGGAGGAAGAGCAGGTGCAGAAAAATGTAGCAGAGTTGGCTCCTACTCGGCTACAAAGTGACCCCCACTCTATCTGGGAAAAACACATGAGTTCCCCTATGAGTTCAGAAGAAGAAATGTACAGAAATAAGCTAAATGAGGGGATTCCCTTTCCAGGAGGCTTCAACATCAAGTTTTTGGACGACA